TTTTTTGACAGGCAATAAACCTTATCTTGAGTTGAGCGATCATTAATTGCTGCAATATCACTTATCTATGAGATCAACGAGCTGATAGCGGTTTGTAACCATAGTATTAAACATTCCTCGAAAAATATTATAATATGAAAATGAAAATGAAATGTAAAATGAAAAATGAAAATATTTATTGCCAGAATCATATTGTTTAGTGATTTAGCAAATTTCAAAGTAGGTACCTTATACCTACATATAGAATTAAATTTCTTATCCTTTCTTTTCGCACGATAAGTAAAAAGAAGTGCGAAAAGCAAATGTACATTTTGGGAAAGTGGGAACATCGTGAATTTAAGTGAGAAAACTTCACTGCTATGATCATCATAATCATTTCAGCCATAGGACGTCCACTGCTGAACATAGGCCTCCCCCAATGCTTTTCATGTGGATCGATTGGTAGCCGCCTGCATCCAGCGCTTCCCTGCTACCTTTATAATGTCGTCGGTCCACCTTGTGGGTGGACGTCCCACGCTGCCTTTTCCAGAACCTTGCTGCCCCATCGGCCGTCAGTTCTGCGTTCTATGTGCCCTGCTGCCTCACTGCTATGATATTAAACCTAAAAGTATGACTCACATTTCCCAATACTCATCATGCCCTTTAAACCCTGTAGGTATATTAAATTGTTTATTTTATCCACCAACGATGAGGTCACGGACGATAGCACTAAGGCGCACGTCAACACTGTGCGCCCGTTCACTGAACTTCGGGGAGGTTGAGTAGAGTATAAATTAACATGGCCGTTTTAATTGACATTAAATTAATATAAACAAAATGGGTGAGCTGAATTTGTTTTTGTTTGTATAGTATGAATTATTGTCTTTAACATTAATTCATTTATTTGTAGAGTCGCATCTATGACCTTATATCTAAATTGTTTGTATAAATTGTCTTTTATCATCATCATCATCATCATTTCAGCCTCAGGACGTCCACGGCTGAACATAGGCCTCCCCAATGACTTCCACATCGCACGGTTGGTAGCAGCCTGCATCCAGCGCCTTCCTGCTACCTTTATCAGGTCGTCGATCTACCTTGTGTTTAATATTAAAAAATTCGTTTGTAGAGTCGCATAGTGTACCTAGTAATAAACCTAGAAACGAACGACGACTTTAATGCGTCTGTTTTGTGTCATGAACAAATAACGTAATTCTGTCTATTAGTTAATTACATAATAACCGTATTTCTTCAAAACACCCTGAGCAATAATATACTACAGCTGATTGCAGTATGCGCTGACTTGACAGCTGTTTCGCTGATAAAAAGCGACTATGTAAAGAATTGGTGTAAATATTAAAAAAAACCCAGAAACGCTGGATATTTAATGTTATATTTACGAAAAGATCTGATTTCTGACGAGATTTTATAGCCATTATTAAAATGTTTTAATAGTTTAGAGTAAAACCTTTATAAATTTATTTGAAGCTCTTGTAGTCTTTGTCAAAGTTGTTTGCATTTTTAATTGATAATACCAGTATTGACTCATGAAGCAGACCGGTCGTATCACTCTAAATGTTTGTTACATGTTCTCACGAACAGCGAGACCGATTTTAATTAATTTTAGTATGGAGAGAGATATAAGACACACGAGATGTAGGTATAGGTTACCAGCTTTTATTGCTATTAAGTTAATAAGCTAAAATAAAGGGTACAATTTGAAGGGAAGATTAAGGAAATGTCAAAAAAAGACAGATGGCAGCAAATCACATCAAAGTAAGCACTGTAGCATTACATAATACGAGTAGGTACTTCAAGAGCAAGTGTGTAAAAAATAGTAATTTAAGAATTAAGATGTATTCATTAATTTACTGTACAATAACTAGACATAATAATATTTGACTCGTAAAACGCTACGTCGCACGTGACTCTCTGTGACAANTCGGCGACAAACGGACATATTAATAATATATTATTCTTTCAAAGCGACTGATCTTAAAACATTGTTTTAATCTCTGACCTCGTCTCTGAACAAAATAATGTTTTACTAACATTATTTTACTACTATTTAAACACTGTAAAAGATTCACATTCAGATTTAGTTGTTTAATTTTCATTTTCTGCCATTTTTATCAACTTACGTAGGACGAAGATAAAACCGTGACAACAACATGACAGTAACACTCCAGTAATGTTTACAATTCTGCGATTAACTAGGTATACATTTATTGACAAAACAGCGTGTTTTGTTGGGAATTTTCTCGGTTGTTTTGCCATAAAACTTTGTGTTCGATACATAAATTATAGTATGTGGCGTATTGTCTTGCTTCATTTGAAGTTCAGTAAGTATTATCTAGTAGACAAATAACCCTTTGCAAGTTCAGAGTTAGTGACTCTACAATGCCTCGTATTGTTTGATAAACTTTGAGTCAGGATTCATACATCTACCACCTTCTATAGCTATAACATGTATGTATAATGTATGTTTTCGATAATTTATATTGAAACATTTATTAAAATGTTATGAAAAATGCGGGAGGAATGGCGTCGAATTATAAAGCTTGCCGCCATACCAGGTGGGACAACCACGACCACTCTAAAAAGAGTGTAGCGACGAAAAAAGAGATACCTACCTCTATCCAAGAGGAGATATTTATAATGACGAGTAATAATATAATTAAGTGTCTTGACTGTTACAATTTGCTCTTAATATTGCAAACCGTGTTCAAACATCTATTTACCTACATAATTAATTTAATTACCACAATATTGTCAAACGATGAACAATCCTAACCCAAAGTGCGGCTAAGGCCATTTGTAAATGTGTGTCACGAATCACAAAATGATGAATTTGGGTTTCATAGTTCAAAGAAAACGGTTTGATCAACAGTTTCAGATAGTAAAATAACTGAAGCTTCATGAAATTCAGAATTGACTCTACTATAGATTCGCTGAAGTATCCTGCTAAAGTAATTTTAGTTACAAAATTAATATTTAACGTTTTATAATGGTGTCTGTTAAAAAACTATTTTTTTCTATGGTGTAAGATTCCCTTGTGACGAACTGTGAACCACCATAGGTGACTAATGACTCCTTCGACCGAAGGAAGTACTTTAACACCAGTGTGAATACTGTCTATACGGGGCTATTCCTATGTACCTCTCGTTCCCACCGCACCGCTGCAACTCCTGTGTAGCCAGGATCTACAGCTTGACCGCCAATAAAACCCAACCAGTGAAGGTCAAGTTTTTCCCGGGGGAAAGTTACTGAATACAAGAAAGGACAGTGTGACAAAAAAAGTGACAAGAAATGATTTTTTCATTTGTTGAAATAACGAAACCTTAGATCTATGGGGTTAATTTAAAAAGTGTGGCTGCGTTATGCGGGCTATTATAAGCCAGAACTGATTTGAACTGGTTGGATTCAATTTACTTGTGTGCATATCTACATGGCACACAAGTAAATTAAAAATGGTAGCTTTTGAGGCTTCGAAGCCAATAGAGTTTAATTTGTATTGGAAGCTTGCGTCATAATAGAAAAAGCTTTCATGGATGTCAACAAAAGTGTTTCAGTGGATTTTTAACAGTTATCCTGAAGATTAATTTAGATTCACATCCTGAAACGTCAATATAGATCGATGGAAGATTTCACGGCAATTTCAGTATGTAAAATCGATGTTTTAAGCACTCAGCACTGCCTAGTTGAGTTTTAGCTTTAGTTTGAAAACTGGATATATAAAATGTTCTTTTAGATTGATATATCATAGGTTTCAAACAGTTTGGACTCGATTATAATTTGAAGAATATGCATGCAGTCTTCTGCTCTCAAAATGTATAGTCTCATGTATATTGTATATGGTTTAACGTAAAGTATTAAATTTAAATTACCTATGTGTAAAACCCACAGTTTGTACAGGTGTTTGGTCCAAATACAGCCAGATTTTCCATACGACTAGAAACTAGGTTCATTAACCTGCCACAAAGTCATGTGACCACTCTCACTAAGGCTGTATTGGTCACATGATTCGAATAATTATGTCAATGATATTAAAATTTGTTGAAATGGAATACCATATTTTGTGATTTACTATAATTTTGCAATATTTTACGCGGAATATTAATCTGTGTGCAGTCGTATAAAAATTTAGAAATCAATTAACTATACAAACCAATTTAACAATAACTGCAATATAATCGTTTAAGAAATTGATTAAGTAATTCACTCCGTTACCGCAGAAAGAACATTAGGTATTTTTGAGAAGAATGAGTACAACGAAATACTCGTATATCCGTAACAGCGTATTACACTTGAAATTCGACGGGTTCATCCAGTCTAAGTAGCTCAGATGGGAGAGCAGTCGCCCGGCAAGCGAAAGGTTATATGTTCGATTCCCGCCTTAGGCAGTTTTCCAAGTTGTTTATTTATATCCAAGATTGAGGTTTTCAAAAAGCTCTACTATAATTAAAATAACCAAAGCAAAAGTTTAATACAAAAGCTTCACAAAGGTAAGGCACCATCACACCACATAATAATAGATGTTTATGACATAATTGATAACGTCAATTGATAACAATTAATATTGATTAGTCTCTGATAGAGACACGTGTTGCTAGATGCCAATCTTATCAGATGGAAAGTTCTTAAGTTGTACTTGAAATTTTTCCATCAGTTCTAAGAGTTACGATTTTTTTTATCCATAACGAGGAAGCTCTTGGCCTGTTTCTCACGTGATGGTAAGTGATGATCAGGCCGAAGGTGGAAGCGAGCTTCACCCGGAATCCTCAACCACGGAGGAACTGGCTATCTTACCTCTACCTAACTGCCCGAACACAACAATGCATATTATGTTCTACCAACCCTTACCCATGTGACATGCAATAAATTAATTTAAATTTGAGTTATTATAATTTTTAAGCGTTAAGAGTTAAGAGAGCGTGAATGCAAATGGAAGAGGAGCGAAAGGTCATGTTTTCAAGTTGTTTATAATTTAGTTTGAGTTCTAAAAGTGACTGTCCTGCCAGGTCCTGGCTGATGACGGGACCCTCGACCTCTGCATCATCACATCAAAACCTTCGTTATGATTCTGCTACGTAAGTCCTACGTGTTGTAGGGTGTTTCGCTTTTTAAACGGTCAATGTTTGTTTCGTAGATTGTCCATGAAAGCGTTTTATAGGCTGTGAATAGGCTCGCGGTAATTTGGTTTGCTTGTTTCTGATCTTGGTGATGGAGGGGTCTTTTGTGAATAAGGATGTTGGTGATAGTGGATGTCCGCTTATATTGGGAGTGGCGCAAAATCTTGCTTGTCGTTTCGTTGGGTTTTTAAATTGGGACTTTTAAGGATTTTTGGTTGTAAGTACCTTGTCGCAGAACTTTAAATATAATGTGAGGTTGATATTTAATTATCCTGCTTTCGCCTCCGAGATTTATTTTANTAATAGGTAATTACATTTATGCTGAATTGTACCATATACAGTGGTAGTAAATAGGTAAGGAGCAACATTCGGGTTAGTATCCCGAAATTTGTAATCTGAACTCAAGAACAGATTCAAACCTGATAGACCTAAATATTAATCGATCTAAGCTTGATTTAGGCCTGCAGCGTATTTTAATCAAGTGTTAAGCAACGTTTAAGAATGCGACTTAATAATTACAACGATATTTCATATACCTACGAGTATCTGTGAAGTCTACTCTTCGAATCTTGCAATCGTTTTCTGGTCAGTAGAGTCTAATTAGGCCAATTGGACATTTCTGCCGCTTCCTCTCTTTGAAGTAAGGTTACGAACGATTCGACCGTAACTTTGTATGGAAACGTGACCTTAGGCCTAAAAGGGCAATCCCATGAAAGAACTTAAGAAAGAAAAATAAGATTTTAGTGATATGAAAAAAGTGCTATTTTTCATAAAACTCTATTTAAAATTAAAAATGCGACATTATTACGGAAACTTCTTAAAGGAAAACCTATATTTGTCTGAATCACAGGAAAACCGCTAGACACCATTGATGTTAATACAAAAAACTTAAACAGACGCTAAACACGTGTTTTAAATGACATTTCCATATTATATAAATGTCAATTTAAACAAATTTTCAACGCCCGTTTAACTTTTCGTACTTATTAAATAATAAGCTCCTATGTAAGTTAGATATGGCAATGTTGCAATGCATGCACTTACCTACGTATCGCAATATAAATTGATTTTGTTGCAAAAATACTGAACCTACAATACAATGTAGTACACGAGAGAAAGATTATTGATGTTATTATTACACAATAAATAAACCACAAGCCTATCAAAATACAATTAAAAAATAGACCACAAATTGATGATGCGAAACCGAACAGGAAACATTTTAGTACTTAACTAATCTAATATTATAATAAGAGTGTAGGTAATAAGCATAAACTAGTTCATAGGTTCATAGCATCATACATAATATCTATTCATATACCTACATAAAAGCGAAAGGTCACTGACTGACTCACTCATCATGAAATGTCAGACTACAAGGAGTCTAAAATTTTGTACGAAGGTTCCTTTTGGAACGTAGGTGCTCATTAAGACGGGATTTTGCAAAATTCAACCCCTGAGGGGGACAACCTATAACGGGATCTACGCGTACGAAGTTGCGGGCGGCCGCTAGTTTAGTTAAAAATACTTTTCTTTCTTTGAAGGTAGAGTCATCAATTTGGTTTTTCACCACGTGTGTAAAATCTTGGGAGACATAATACAGATGACAGCAAAATAAAGAAGAAACTGTCATCTTATGTGGTTAAAGATGTTATTATGCGATATAAACGTTTAATTTATTGTGTTGACGACTGTACAATGAAGTGAATTTATTATTACTTTCTAACAATGGGTATTAGCGGTTTCTTTAACATAAAATTAGTTTAAAATTATCCTCTTCAGCATACGAGAACAAATAAAACCGCGGAAATGTATCATTTGTATTAGCACTGAATAAATTTTCTTCCAGATGTGTTATTGATTTTTCAGGACAATATAAAGACCATAGTACCTAACTAGATAATAAGTAGTAGATATTCGTGTACCGACCTACGCCCACGAGTATATTATGTATTAATATTAAAGTAAAACGATTAATTCTAATGTAATCTAATCGTTTCGTTTTCTTCACATAAGTTTTGTTTTGTTTAATAATTAAAAGTGATAAAGCTTATAAAGTCAGAATCACATTAAGAAAGTATCACTATGATACACTGAAGAAATAGGGCTATAATAATTGTTGTGCTAATTTAATACTTAGAATGTTCAGAATGCAATATTCGCCCGCAGTGAACTAAAAATACCTATAGCAAATTAAAAGATAAGATAGTGCAAACAGTTTTAAGTTCCAACCGCTATAGCTTGCAAGGACAATAGTCAACATATTGGCGTGCTTGTTTGAGTAAGGGCTCGTTCCTACAGCAATCCAGTTTTGCAGGACCCCGCAAAACTGGACTGTTGTGTGAACTCACATTACTATCGCCCGTATTCACAAACAATGCTTGCTTAAGTGAAGCAGCCAATCGAACGCACAGCGTTTAATAGAGCTCTGTGATTGGCTCGTGTGTCACCCTGTGCGTCCACGCGCAACTGTGCGACCTCATAGCAATGTTTGTGAATACGGGCGCATGTGTGTTTGTAATTCGAATAACAAATTAGAACGGAACACGTATACCTACTACTAAACGGGATTCTGTAAAAAATGTCCTGCAAAAAACGGGATGTCTCCGGTGGGAGCAAGCCCTTTTAGAGGTATTAAAGTTAGTTGCAATCAATAGCATAATCTGACACATTTCTTTTGCAAAATAATACTTATCACAGTTGTATAAAATGCCACAGAATTTAGCTTCATGTGCCGTTTATGCTGTTAGTTATGTTGATTTGTATTGTTTTTATTTCTGCTACCAAATAAATATTTTTTCTTTCTTTCTTTGTGTGGCTTCGTCCGCGTGAATATCGATCTTTCATGGATTTTGTCAACAATTTCATGAGTTATTTTTCTTATCATGTGATCATTTTTATTTTGGTTTTCTAAATAACCAGTAAAAAGCGTTTCAAAATCAGTAATATTCGCTTCGGAGCTTAGCTGGAACTGCTGGAACAAATATCTAAATAAAACATTACATAAGCATAAAATTACATAAGCAGCATCAAAAAAGAAGGATATTTTATTTTGTATCTATGCGCAAGAGTGGAACAAAAGCATCACACTTTTGTGAATAACTAAATACTAATGGATGGAGCATATCAAACTGAACACTGTAACATCTTATGTAATTATAGTAAAACTAGCGGCCGCCCGCGACTTCGTACGCGTGGATCCCGTTTTACCCCCTTAGGGGTTGAATTTTGCAAAATCCCGTCTTATCTTTGTTCTAAAAGGAACCCCCATGCAAACTTTGAGACTCTTAGCACTTGTAGATAGTTTCTGAGACTTCGTGATGAGTGAGTGAGTGAGTCAGACCTTTCGCTTTTATAGATTCTGATTTTACTCGTAGATGATAATTTGTAAAAAAATATAGTTTGACGTGCTGTCGTCTGTAACATAGACTAGCAATTTTCCTAGTTTTACAGTAGGTATCCAGTAATATGTTATGTTACCTTAGGAAAGAGCCCATAGTGTGAATATTATAGCTATGAAGGTTCAGCGTAATGATGTCAATTTAGGGAGAGACAATGATATAATCAATTGGTAGTAAAACTAATGAAATTAACCCCAAAATATCAATAACGTTTTATGTGTCAATATAACAATGAGCACAGATGAAGTAGAGTACCACGCCTTTGTTATTACTCTTTATTAATCAATTGAAGAATAATCAGATCCAATTTTTGTTAGGTTACTTCCTAACTACTTTCTACGTATAAGAGCTACTGGATATAAAAAGCTTAGACATAAGTATGTATAAAAGCTTCGTCCGTAACATTGCCTACCTATAGATCGTTTCATCCACGAAGACGCGCCCCACCATTCTTCCGCTAATGTTTGAGTGTTATCGGTACACGCTAAATCATCCATGAGTGCACACGCACACTACAATAATGACGCTCGGATTGCTCGGATCAAACTCCCCGCACCCCGCGCTTCCCTCGACCAAAAATTGGTGGGGTGCGTCTTCGTGGATGAAACGATCTATAAAAAGTGTGTTTTCAGTGGCAAAACTTTAACAATAAAAGAAAAATGTAACTTGTTTAACAATAATGCCCGCAGGTCAGGCCTATTTTCTTATTCAGTAAACGTGTCTGAGTTATGTTTATGAACGGATTAATCTTGTTAATTTAAACAGCCGTATCCCACCTTCTATAGATAACTTTAATTAACCTATCAAAGCAAAAGCTATACAAATAAACACACAATAATACCTAATCATGTACGAGTATGACGTCAATAGATTTTTACTATCGATTCATCGGGGCCGGCATAATAATTACATAATATTATCTTTATAGTAGCACGTGTTTTCGTGGTGATCATTGAATATTAAAAGCAAAACAATTAACTAAATATCTCCTGGCATAATATTATTATCTTGGCCTGCCTACTATGTTATTCGATTTCGATTAGAAGATAAATCTACCTAACGTACGAAGATTTAATGAATGCTACTGACAACGCCACTCTTGTAGCGGAGTTATGGGCTGAAAATGTGGTTTGTTGTCGACACGACAAGAAGAAGAAGAAGATATGAATGGATAAGGCCCTGTTCATTCTGTGGCACTCGTTTTTTGCTAGATGTTAAACTTCTTCCCCCTTATTAATAAAAACTTACATCTAGGATGAAATCTAGATTAAAATGACATTTCCATACTGAATGACAATTTAAGCCAGTGTTCAACTATAAGGGTATTGCCGTTTTCTTAATTTTTACTTAGTTAATTGGCAGACTGTTCTGTCCCTAATAATTTATTTTGGCAGTTAGAATTCTGTTAAGCTCATCAAATTGTCTCGTTATAAATTATTATGATAAAAATTGCAATAACAAACTCAAAGCGCGATAGCATTTGTTTAAATTAAAGTGATAAAAATGATAGGCATATTGTTTATAATACATACTATGTCTGTGTGGGGTAATCTTGGA